GCAATCTCTCTCTTTTTTTTATTAATCTCTCCTTAATTCCCTTCTTTAAGGGAGTTAATTCCCATATTCCTCACCTCTTTCCTGCTTCTGAAGTAATAACCTTTGTAATTACTGCCATTAAGCTTCTTAAAATCCTTTTCTGCTTAAATTCCTTGTGTCAATGAATGTTCCTTTTTAAAAAAATCCATTTTCTGAAGGAAAACCATTTTTTGTAAGAATTTCCTTGACACTTTTCGTGACTCATCCTGTTGACCTTAATGTAATGGTGGTTTTTTTTTTTTTTTTTGGTCTGTTTTGGACTAAGCATTATTGCTGAGCTTGTATTATTGTGGTTTTGAATAATTCTTCTCGGAAAAAAATTGTTTTCTTTCCCTTTAACTTCATTCCTATCAGCCTCCTAAATTTGAAAAACAGTATTCATTCTCTTAAAGGCAAACCTGACCAAAAGTTCCTCTAAGGTGGTCATTTTCTACAGATAGTTCCGTGAAATATTTGAATTTTTATTCATTTTTTTAAAAAGCCTATTTTGCCACTGATTTTGCCACTGCTCAAAGATTTATGGGGCTCCTGCCAATACATGGAAGAGTTTGAGTTAATGAACAATATTGAACTTCAGTGCTTGTTTTACCTCATAAAGCATTCAACTCAGTGTATTGGGCTACTGAGATAAAATAATTATCTGCCCCCAGAGATAAGGAGAATCCAAGACCTCGGTGCCTTCTGCCGTGCCCTTAAAACCTTCTTTTTCAAGCAAGCCGGGCTGGCCTAACACTTTTTAAAATGTTTTTAATTGTCTGTTATTGTTTTTAATCATGGGGCCAAATTTATATATATCTTTTTAATTGTATTTTAATGTTTGTAGTTTATGTTTTTACTTGGCTGTTCACCGCCCTGAGTCCTCAGGGAGGGCGGTATACAAATTTAAAAATAAATAAATAAATAAATCTCCACTAAAGCAGACTTCTCTAAACTTGGCACTTTTAAGATTTGTGGACTTTAACTCCCAGAATCCCTCAGCCAGTGTGGATGAGAAATGCATGAGAAAGGGCTTTTTTAAGCCTGTGCGCAGCTCACCCCTTGAAGCAACTCAAGATGGCCGTGGCAATCATCCTGTGAGGGGACCCAGGTTCGGCCACCCACCAGCACCTTGGTTGAAGCATGGCCTTGCGGGTGAGCGAGTGAAGCACAGATGGGAGCTATTGGGGTTTGATGTTTATTTATTATTTATTTGTCAGATTTATATGCCACCCTTCTCCCGTAGGACTCGGGGCGGCTCACAACAGTAAAACAACCCGACAATAGATAAGGATTAAATAATATTAAAAACCAATTTAAAATCCCCAAATCCCCAAGTTAAAATCCACGGCAGATTAGGGAAGTTGCTGAAAGAGCCATGTCTTTAGGTCGGCGCGGAAGATGCGGATGTTCCACAAGAGTCCATGTTTCTTCGTATTGGGTAAATTAATTGCTCACCCTAGCTCTATATGCTACCGAGTGTTCTGACCTAGGCCTCCCAAGATCATGAAGCAGACTCCTCGTCCCGATAAAACATCTTTTATTTAAATTAAAGGGAATTCCTCTCCAGCAAAGCCCCGGCAAACAGTCCTTCCTGAGATTTCACGACTACACACCTTTATCAGGCTTGGAGGGTTGCCAGGCTGATATCTTTCAAACGCCACTCTATAGCAGCAATTACTCGGCAAGAAGTCAGGAACAGATCTTCACCCTAATGAATTGAACCAATTGTCTCCTGCAAACTCCCCTCCCCTTCGCTCCTCTTTATTCCCTCTGGGAGGGGCCATTCCCTGTCTACCTGTGGCTTTACTCCTGAGTAAGCCCTTGTTCCTTAGCTGTTCCCTTCTCCTGGCAGTTCTGCGCATGCGCACATCGGGAACAGGATCCAGCTGTTCTTCTGCCCCATTGATGTCCGACTCTGAAGGCAGCTGATAACTATCAGATGGCCCTGGCCCCCTCTGCCTCTGACGCAGAGCCCTCATCAGAGCCTTCCCCAGACTCCAGGACTGACCCATGTTCCTCCCCAACCTTCTCACTGTCCGAATCTGCCAGCAGCTCTGTTGGCCACTGGCAGGCCACCACACTGAGCAATTACATTCTTTGATTTTGATTCCACTGTACCCTCATCAGTTGTCACTTCCAGCCTCATTGGGAGAGTCTTTTAATTCAGCTGGAACCATTTCCCACAACGTCCCAAAGTTGCTTTTTCAAAAGGCAATTGGACTTTATTTTTCCTTGAAGACATTGTGCTTCTCATGCAAGAAGCTTCCTCAGAACTGAAGAAGCTTCTTGGATGAGAAGCGAAATGTTTTCAGGAAAAAAACAAAGCCCAGTTGCCTTTCGAAAAAGCAACTTTGGGACAACTATGACCGGGATGACTGAGAATCTCCATAGACATAGCCCATCATCTTTTCCCCCCTCTACTTTGCCTGTAACGTTAGCCTTCTACTATCAAATATTCTCTAGAATTTATATTTTCTTTCATCTAGATAGAATGAAGCTATTCTTGTAGTTCCACTACACGTTCCACTACAGCAAAAAGTCTTTATGTTTATCTTCTAGTTTTCTGTTTTGTCTCTTTTTTTATTTTATTTGCCTTTAGATTCTCTGATTTCCTATCCCTCAATTATCTAAATATCCCGTGTTGTAACATCTTACTAAATGTGGTGATCTAGATACTATTTCAAAAGAAAACTTCGTTGACCAACCACCCGCCATTGAAAAGTGCAACATCAAGAAAACATTCAAGTTAATGGAAACAAGTCTTTATTAAGTAACTTTTTAATATCAGAAAAATAAAACTCTTATAATTCTCTTTACAGCAAATATATAATATCAGTGCTTTGGCCATCATAAGTTAAAGGCCCTTTATCATAAAATATATGCTTTTTTTAAACTTTACTCAAATTGAATTTATAATCCCTATGACCTTTCTACATATACATAACAAAAAGAGTGTAGTAAAATTAGCAAATACTAAACCATATTGAGAGCTTTGTCATTCTGAAGTCTGTGGTTTATAGAAAGAGTACACGCATCTAATGTTGTATCCTTGGCTTATTAGCTGCAGTGTACAATGCAACAATATACAAAATACATGCTTGGTAAATGGGATTGTTCATATCTACAAGACTCGGCTAAAGATTAAGATTTCAATACTGACATTTAACTATTCTACAAGCTATTAGCGTTAAAGTTATGCATCTCATAATGTAATAATAATATTATATGCCATCAAGGCAACTTTTATACTGAAAAAAAATCATAAAATAAAAACCGTTATCTGTAAACTTTTTTTTTTATACGAAATGTAACTCTTTCAAGTGGAAAATAAAAAATAAAGATTTCTGTATATTCACTAGTTCAATACACGTAGAATTTGCTATTCTGAGAAAAAATTATTTCACCTTGGGAAAATATTGCTCAAAAAAAGAGAGGGAGTAAGAGGAAGGACAGAAAGAGAAGTTTTTTTTTTTAAAAAGGAGAAAGAGGAAGAGGGAGGAGGAGGAAGAAGAAAAAAAATGAAACCCATCAGAACGTCTGAGTGTTCTTTTAAAAACGCCAGCACAGATTTGGGAAAATTCTGAGGATGAAGTGCTGGAAGGAGAAACATCCACAGGCTGAAATGTACATTAAAGAAATCAATAGAGGTCATTTTTTTTTCCCCTTGATAAGAGGGGAAGTGTAGTTTTGAAATGAAATAAACCGTTTTGCTGGGTCTCAATCACTGCTATTTACCATTGAATGATACAAAAACATGGATGTTACTCCTTTCTCCTCCTCTCCCCGTATGATTAAAAACCAAAAAAGACAAGTTTCACATAATGTGCAAGTTGTGGCTGTAACATAAAAATGATTCACATTTTCTTATACTCTTGATATTTGCTAAAATAGTTAATTTAAGAACACCTTGATCACATGAGCCAATGGAATGTCAGCATCCTCATCCTAGACACGAGGGACGCAAACCCCTCTCGCCTTCCCCGTCCTCCCACCACGGGGGGGTGGGGGGTCCGCAAGAAGCAGGACCGGGTGGAGAAGGGGATCCTTACGGACACATCCTAAAGTGACAATTCACAGCATGAATTGCATCTTGTGTGATGAACACCGAGGGAACAGAGGGAGGCCTTCCTTTCAATGGAAGGTAGTAGCAATTCACGTGTAAAGAGCATTATTATCTAAGATGCTCTACGCAAATAAATAACCAAACTGCTACAAATGGGGTTCCCCCCCCATGTCAGGGGCTGGAGCTCCCGTGTCCCTTGGCAATGATTTGAAACAAAGAAGGCTTTTCCAGGCTTCAGCAATGGAAGACCTACACGTTCCTGATTCGCTTAAAGATGCCTCAAATTGCATACTGGATGAGAAGAGGCTCATCCCTTGTTTGCCCCTTCGGTCGGCCCTCCACGAACCATGATCCGGTTAATAAAAACTTCTCGCTAGGCGATTACTCGCTCGGATGGCAGGAAACCAATCAACGGGCGGTAAAATTATTTGCAACGTTAGGTTAAATGAAGCCTGTTATTGTTGTGTAAAGAGGGGGGGAAAAAGCATCCCCAAACCTGCTCTGAAAAAACTGGCAGTGTAAAGAAGGCAGCACTGGAAGTTATTTTGAAACATTCATGATCCTTTGCACTGTTTCTCCCCCCAATAAGAGTTTCTACGCTCAGGGGCTACGTGAGACTTCGCTTTCACTGCCGTTATTAGAAATACTTTGTCAAGATCTGGACAGACTGCGAATGCTCACTGTACACTCCCACTCCGAAAAACAGATCTAAGGCCCTAAGACCTCCCAACACCACCACAGCTTCCTTCCAGGACTTCGCTAGAGGTACCACAGCTGCAACCAAAATGGAGAAAGACTGGCTTAGGCCTATAAGGTTAACTGAACAAGCCTTTTTTTTGTTTTGTTTTGTTTTTTTTGAAAAGAGTACATGCTTTTCAAACAACTGTTAGCCTAATCTCAAGAAAGCCCAGTAACAGTCTGAGTTCATTATAAGTTTACTTAGGGGGTACCATTACATCCAAGCCATTAAGAGTTTAAAAAGTCCATATATAATATCTCTATATATTTAAGAGTGAATTTGAATCGCCTGAGTAACAGCTGTCTGGCAAACTGGACACGATGGTGCTTCTTTTTCACAGATCTTGTTGGCACACTCCATGCAGAAAAGGTTGTGGCCACATGGAACCAGGGCAGCGATTACTTCGTTCTCAAAACAGATCACGCAGTCGTGCTTCCGTCTTAACTCCGGAGGGGAACTAGATGTGGAGCCACCGTTGGAAGAAGAGTAGCTGTTGGTACCGTTGGAAAAGGCAGGGATATAGATGGGAAGGCCAACCTGGTTGACGGTGCTGGGAGGGTCGCTTCTCACTCTGCGGGCGAGGGGATGTTCCAAGGTCTCGGGAAACGTCGGTGACAAGCGAGGGGTGGATGGCTGGCTCCCTTTCCGCGGAGATTTCACATTACTAGCAGGTTCGCTACCAAAACTGGAGAGTGGGTTGACGGGTTCGAAAGGTGTCCAGATGGTCTGAGAAGGGGTTGGCAAGGAATCGTAGGCGGGAGAGTCGACGGCCAGATCCTCTGCCCCCACGGAAGGTAAGGTCTCTCCAAACCAAAAATTGCCAGTACTGAATGGACTGGTTGGGCTGAAGTCAGCCAACCTATTGCTTCCAAAGTAGGAGTCGGTGGAACCGCTTCCTAGGGAACTGGAGCTGTCGTTTCTGTAATTGGAAATCATCCGGGTGCGACTGGGAGGTGGGACTGGGTGGGAAGTAAGCCAGGCAGATCCAAGGTTTCCTCCTTCAAAACTGACATCTGTACCATTGTAATGGAAATCGTTTTCTTCGTTGAGCTCAATGTAGTTTCCAGTGCGCATGGCGATGTGCATCTCTATCTCTTCCCGGGCCCGGTCTACGTTTTCAGGCATACCGGTTACCTCAAAAACTGGCTCTTTGTCTCTACTGGGAGTAACTATGTAGGTATGGGTTTGCTGCTGAATTCTTTTGATCGTAGCGCCTTTGGGACCAACCACCAGCCCGACGACACGGTAAGGCACCCTGACCTGGACTGTAGTCTGGCCTGGCAGGTTGGGGTTACAAGGCAGCCCTCCCAGAGCAGGGCCATTCTTGTTGCGCGAAGCTCTTATCATGGAGAAGTGCTCAGCAGCAGAAAGAATTTCCCTTTTGGCCATGGCGACGTCTTCTTTGCGGCCGGTGACCACGAAAACGGGCTCTTCTCCACGCACAGGGGTCTTGATGTAGGTATTGGTTTTGGCTCTCAGGGCCTTTATTTTGCAACCTGCAGCAAGTAGACAGAAACAAACAAAATAAACATTTTAAGAGATTTAATTTCATTTTTAGCCATTAAAAAAAACCCACTCATCTTCTAACTTACAGGTAGTCCTCAATTTATGACTAGTTGTTTAGCAATCTTTCAAAGTTACAACAGACCCCCCACCTCATAAAAGGAAGTTATGACCACTTCTGAAGTTCCAATGGCCGCTGCTCCCTGTCGTCACATGACCGCATTACGGGTGCTTGACAAACAGCCCACATTTATGGCTGTTTGCAGCATCTTGTATCACATGATCACAATTTATGATGTTTTTGCTGAAAACCGGTATTTACTTCCAGTTTTTGGCAAAAACTCTCTACATTGAGCAATGAGATTATTTAATGGCTGCACATTTGCTTAATGACCACTGGAAAAAAAAGATTGTAAAACAACTTACAACCATACTGGGCAGGCTCTATTATGGTCATAAGCTAAAGGCTGCCTGTATTTTTACGGTCTCTATGATCCACAATATGTTCAAGCTAAATCCAACGGAAGTCCTTTCTTTGTCAAGGCAAGTAACTTCACAGAGATCAGTATCTCCATTCTCTGCAAAAGTTGATGCTTCTGGGAATAAATGCCACATCAGGTTTGCAAATTAATAAGTTGAAGGTATCTTTAGCAGGTTCCTGGCTCACCTAAACAAATTACTCAATTGTGGTTTGTACAAATAAAACAGAGATCCAGCTTTTGAAAAAAACCTGTCAGATGGGCTACTTAAAGATAATTCTTTACAAGCGAATGATTATACAGAAGCCATTTTACTGTTATTTCCTGAATTTCTTCTATCTTTATAATGTCCTTCTTGCCACGAAGCATTACTTTTAATCACTGCATATTAATACTAATTTGACTGTGTTAAAATTAATGACTAAATTAATTAAACAAGTAATGACTACATTAAGAAAAGCCAGGAACCCTTTCTGAAGGAAGTCAATCAAGGAAAGCTCCCAACAACAAAAAGATTAGGGCTGAATGTAGAATGTAAGGATGAATAAAACATGAAAACTGATGTGTTAGCTGGAAGAAAAGAGCCTTGGTAGTACAGTGGTCTAAGGCACCCTGTTATTAAGCTGGTTATTAAGACCAGCTGCCTGCAATTACTGCAGGTTCGAATCTCGCCAAGACTCAAGGTTGACTCAGCCTTCCATCCTTTCTAAGGTAGGTAAATTGAGGACCCAGTGGTGGGGGCAATAAGCTGACTTTGTATAAATATATATACAAAAGGATGAAGGCTATTGCTGAGCACATTGTAAGCCGCCCTATATAGATGCCTGACTGACGGTTACAGAAACAACAACATACATTTGGTTAAGAAGTGTTAAAGAAAAAAATTGAAGGTTTTATTTTAGTGGCTTAAGAACAAGCTTTGCTGATTGACTGCATTAAGGTAAAGGAAGCTGAAAAACTGATTTCCAATGGCATCTGAACAGACATGGGCTGAAATAGCCGAATCTACCCAGAGATGTTTTTCTGAGGCTGACTGAGTTGAAACTGGGCCTGAGAAGAAGGAGCAAGGGGCGTGCTCGAAAAACTATGATTCAGTCTCTAGGCAGATCCGACTGTAGCAACCCATGTCTGGCCGATGCCACAACCACACTGGAGAAAACGATGAAACAAATGTCCATTGGATCAGTGACTACAACACAAAATTTCACATACTGACTCTCAGGAACATCATGAACAATTTGCTAAAATTATTTCCTGGAAACTTTTGCAGAGATTTGGATTGGAATGTTGCAAGAACCATGGGACCATCAAGTTGAGAAGTTTTGGGAAAATGAGTGGGTTGAGATCTTATGGGATTTTTAAGATCCAGTCAGACAGACAGCCATCTTGTTCATCATGTGCCTGATATAATGGTTATTGGAAAAAAGAAAGTCACTGATGCTCTTCAACTAGGTGGTGCAAGATTGAGGAAAAACAATTGGAAAATATAAAATATCGGGACTTAAAGTTCCAAGTTGAATGCTTATAGAAAAAGAAATCTGTTGTTATACCAATCGTGATTGGAACTCTTGGAGTAATAACTAAAGAACTTCCTTGATATCTGGACATATTGAATTTATCAGACCTGAACACTCTTAACTTTACAAAATCTGACCCTGCTTGGAATTGACTATAATCTTAGATGTTACCTTAGTAATTCTTAGGTCCTTGGTTAGGACTAAGTTTCCACCAGCCGTAAAGTAATAATTTAATAATTATTTTAATAATAATTTATTAAACTTTTATGCTACCCAGTTTAGCAACTATGGATGGCTGACAGCAATTGAAGAAATCGCAATGAAATATAAAAATAAAGAAACCTCAATATTTCTACAGGTTTAATCTTGCAGTATGTAGAAAGCTATGTAAGGCTACATTGTTATGTATATGAAGTTCAAAAGAAGCATTTTTGGATAATCCGCCTTTTAACCAATTTCTTCAAATCAAGTTAATTTGTCAATTGCACATTTTTGCAAAGTAATTATTAAAACACAGAATACTGACCAATTGAACAAATACAGATTACAGGAGATTAATAAATAAAAAATAAATAAAAGCAAAAGCAAAATAATTGTTTAAATGTTGAAATAACTACCGGTATGTCATAGCTCCATCATGGCGAACCTATGGCATGCGTGCCACAGGTGGCAGGCGGAGCCATTTCTGCAGGCACATGAGCTGTTCCCCTAGGTCAGCTCCACCGTGCATGCGCGCGTGCCTCCCACCAGCCAGCTCCTTTTTGGGTCTCTGCCGTGCATGCGGGAGACCCACGCACATGCCAATGCCACCCCTCCCCTCCCCTCCCCTCCCAGGAGTCTCCACGTGGCCCGTACAGGGCTCGCGCGGAGGCTCTAGGAGGGCAAAAAATGGGCCTCCCGGAAGTCCAGAAAGAGGCTGTTTCCAGCCTCTGGAGGGTCTCTGGAGTGCCAGGGGAGCCCGTTTTCACCCTCCTGGAGACTCCAAGAAAGCCTCTGGAGCCTGTGGAGGGTGAAAAACGGGCCTCCTGGAAGTACCGGGAGTCTCTGGAGGGCCGGGGGTGCCAGTTTTCGCTGTCCTGGAGACTCCAGGAAAGCCTCCAGAGCCCGGGGAGGGCAAAAAACAGGCCTACCAGAAGTCCGGAAACAGGCCATTTCCGGCCTCTGAAGGCTTCAGGGAGGCCTGCTAGGCCCAAAATGGGGCGCGGGGGGTTGTGCGCGCCTGTGAAGAGGGGGGAAAGTGCGGGGGGGGGGTCACATGCACCTGCGCAGGGGGTGGGGCAGCGTGTGAGTTTATGCACGCATGCCCAGGGGGCAGAGCGTGCAGTGGGGGCATTGTATTATGGGTGTGGGCATGCATGCGCTATCGTGCACGCTATTTTGGCACCCGAGGGAAAAAAGGTTAGCCATCACTGTCATAACTGAAGAGAACAGAAAAGAAGCTGCTGATAAAACTTGTACAACTGAGTTTTAGGAAGGTAGGTTATTAGGAAAATGAACTTTAACTTGCTCCTTAGAGCTATTAAGTATTGGGACAGTTTCCAACACAGATTCTGCATTCTCTTTCACTCAAGACTTTCTTAAGATAAAGATTTAAGTCTTATGTAGGATGTGTTCTTCCAAACAAACCCATAACCAGAAGTTTGATTCTCACTGGTTCAAGGTTGACTCAGCGTTCTGTTCTTCTGAGGTTGGTAAAATGAGGACCCAGATTGTTTGAGGCAATAGGCTGACTTTGTAAACCGCTTAGAGTGGGCTGTAAAGCACTGTGAAGCGGTATATAAGTCTTAAGTGCTATGTGAAACCAGGAACTTTCTAGTATGGATAGATTTTTGTTGTGGCTCTGATCCCCGAGGCCGACTTATCGGAGGGAGAAGGCTCCGAACATGAAGGAGAGGAGTTGGCCAGGCCTCCCTCTCCAGGACCCTCCTCTCTGGCAATGCCTCAGGTGTCTCCCGTAGGAGAAGAGATTGGCCAGGAGCCAGATATCTCCTCACAGTCTGACAGTGAAGGAGATAAGTCTTGGCTGGATCCACACCAGCTTTGGAGAGACAAGCGCACGCAACAGAAAAGGAGGCATGCCAGAGATTAAGCTGAGTCACTGGACCACACCCCACGGGGGATATAAGGGGGTGAGGTGGCCATTCAGACTCTGTGACGGACAAAACTAACTACTATTGAGTCACATTGCATCTTTGGAAACAACATTATCTGCCTTGGATTTAATTACAGACTGGACTTGACAATTCTTGAACTGTGTGTATCTTGTTTATGAGTAAAGTTCTTGGCAAGCAGCTACTGGGTTGCTGCCAATCCTCTTATCAAAAGAATTGGTTGTCTGCCAGTTTATTTAACCCCTGGCTGTCTGTTTGGGTGTGTGTGTGAGATGGGGACAGAACAATTTTTTGGTAGGAGGCATGATTCATCTTGGTCCTAACTGTGTCTCCCGCTTTTGTATTCAATTCTGTATGAACAAGGCGGTGCTTCCAGGGTTTGGCGTGAATGCGTATGTGACCAAAGGCGACCAAATTTATAGGTTGGCTTTCTGATATAGGGCTATATAGGAATGACACCTTCAGTGTGAGTATTGTATAGAGAAGGCACGTGTTTGAATGGGTCTCAAACCAGAGATAGCATAGCAACAGCAATAGCGCTTAAGACTTGTCTACCGCTTCATAGTGCTTTACAGGGCTTCCTAAGTGATTTACATTGTCAGCATTTTGCCTCCAACAATCTGGATCCTCATTTTACTGACTTCGGAAGAATGAGTCAACCTTGAACCGGTCAGGATCGAATTCCTGGTTATGGGCAAAGTCAGACTTCAATACTGCATTCTAACCACTGCACCACCAGGACTCCTATGAGAGGAGAGATTCCAAGCCAGAAAGGTCTTTAACAGATGTTAATTAGATAAAAGAGTTAATGATCAGACCAAAAAAGCTCAATCGAGTGTGGATACCAACCAAAAACTGCCTGAGAATGGAATGGGTGGGAACAAGA